CGCTCTCGCTTGAGAGAAAATATCAGTAGCTCTATCGAACCAAAATTGTGTCACTTTTCTGAATATGAAATTAAAATACTGTTTTCGTCGTCTCTTACCGCCATCGAACATTTCCATGCAGAACTCCGCCAACTCCGGGAGAACTCCGTGACCTGAAGACTTTTCGTAGGAATTATTCAAACTCGTTGTTCGTGCTGTCTGTTAGATAACAATTTCAGAATATTCTTCACGTCTCTATGTTTATTTGCTTGCTTCCATCGTAAAATACCTGCTTTTTTTGCAAGCATTCTATTACTACATGTAAATCTACATCTCCCTCGATCGAGTGTTGCCAGCGTCTAATTACGTGACTTGTAAAACTAATTAAAGAATGAACCAACAATATTTTGACCAGTGGGCTTCTTGCAAATTTCCCTTGATGAAGAAATCCGAAGACATAGCCAGGTGTTTTCGAGGGTAAAGGCAATAAATTTGAATGAAAAGTGAGATCCAAAGGTATGTTTTTTTTTGAAGCCTTATAACAGCTGTACCCTCTCCTGCAGTCTTCGTCTAAATTTTTCAAGGTTCCTCCTTATCTCTGCCTTGTTCGGTCAGTTTCAACTTCTGAAGCTAGATCATCGGTATCGGCCTCTTCGTCCTCATTCGTACTTACTGAGGAGGACCTCTTCAATAAACCAATTTTTGTTAGGGTAGATAACCGGCTGAAGTATCGAGCGATTTGCAGTTCTATCAACCAGTCAGTCTTAGACAACATTTCTGGCTGGTGTCGTCTCTTTAACTCGATATAAGGGAAGCCACATTAGAGGCGGTTACCTTACTAGTTACTGTCCAGCACACGTCTAGGAGGTAATTCTTCGCCTTCTGAGAAAAGGCGGCTGCTTTTTGTGTTTTTTAAAGAGCCCATCTAGAGTCCACCTGGCTAGTTAGGGATTGTTCGTCAGAATTGATTTTGCATGAGGTCCAACCTTGAACGTAGCCATCTGCTACAGAATGGCAAGCGTCCGTCCATTTCCTCTTGATCTCATCATAGGCGCATTTTTTATATCAGCTTCACTTTGTGTTTGCCTTTGTTGAGGTGCTTTTGGATGGCAGTGAATGACTGAAACGTCTTAACACATCCTTCCTCTAAACAAGAATATCTCGCTTTCTTGTTCTGTCTTTTGTCTCGCGATCACCGGGTTCAGAGATTTTTACACATTGCTGATAACCACCCCTTTCTACGATTAGTTTACTAAAGGTTTCTAATGATGAACCTAGTGAGGCGCTGAGGTGCTCCAAAGTGTGCCAGTTGGTCTGCAATGTAAACTTGTCGCAGTTCCAAAGTCAGAGGGAGGATCGCCCGCCTCTATTCATGTGAGTGCCTCTACAATATCTGCGTATCCCTAGCAATCATTTGATATGATATGATATGATATGATATGATATGATATGACACGATCCAAGCGAAACATTCGTAAATCTTCCGCACATAGAAGATGGGGGCACTGGATAACATCAAATTTTGCAGCGGACGCTTGGAATGCCTTACCCCTTTCCCTAAGAGATGTGCCCACCTTAAGTCAATTTAAGCGTGGTATCAAGAAAGCTTTATTTTAATTTTTTTTAATGCAGCACTAGCTTAATTAAATTAGTGTTAATTTTTTAATATAATGTATGTTTTTCTGTTTTATTTTTCGATTGTATTTATATTTACATTTTTACGTAATTATATTGATTTGTAGTTACCTTTAGAGGACCCTTCTGTAAACCAATCTTTCTGTGATGTTGGCATCCTCAATAAAGATTAACTATTATTATTATTATTACATAAAGTTCATCTCAGTCACAAATTACAATAAGGAAAACTGATGTTCAGATAAGCGCTCTTCTTGCCCTTCTTCTTTTTTCATTGACCCTAAAATAACTGTTATAATACGCGTTCTATTGGGTTTGCATGCAGTCACCTTGCCGCCATGAGGACTCGCCATTAGCTTTGATTTTTTTTGCCATCTTCAGATTTACCTCTCTCTCAACTTTACGTAGGAAGTGGATTCTGGCATTTACGAAGCCGCAGGTCTGAATCTCACACCAAGTTGTGCGCGATATTTTAGGCATATCGTGAAATCGCGGCCTTCGTAATCTCCAAATAAGCCAATACGAGCTAGAATAAAACTTCTCCTCGGACGATACATTGGGATACATTGACGTCTCTCAAACGTTCTTTTATGCTGCACACCCACGAATTTAGGGGTTCGTCCCCGGCCAGCGCGAGAAAAATAACATTTGGTTCTACAGTTAGTTGCAAATGAACAAGACAGCCACGCCACCTCGACTCCATCAATTCGAGTTTTAGGGTGAATCGAGGGCTTTTTAGACACTCGATTACTTATGTGGCATCGCTATGAAGAAGTATTACAACTAATACACATGTACGACATAGGATAAACAATGTCTGTTGCGTTGTCGCGAGAATGAGGAAAAGTGTATACTCTTTGAAAGTTACGTGACGTTTCAGAGATTTCTATCTCCGGCTGTCACAAAACATTGACCCCCTCTTCAATTTACTGGGAAAACGAAGTTACAAACTCCTTGTTGAATAATTTGAAACTCATTTGACCGATACGCGGCTTGTTTCAATTTTGCTCTTTTCCCGGGCTGTTATAAAACAGTTCATAAATTGTCTAATGAATAAACTACTTTTAAATACCGATCGGAATTTGCCTTTTGCGTGCAAACCAAGGGCAGACAAAGGTTTTACAACATTTGACAAGAATTTCATAGGGCTTTTTCGTCGGCCAGAGCCAAGACGCACCAAGCTAAGTGACATCGCCCTTCAGTAATATAATTTTCCAAAGAATAAATGTGGCGGGCGTGAGGACACGCACACTTTTTCATTCGATGACTGCGATAAAAGCGCAGTGATGTACCTTAATTGATGCTTAAGGTATCAAACCATTGATCATGGCAGAGTGAGCCTAATTTTTCTGTCGAGGTCGACGTGACTTTACATTAAAAGCGTTTTTGACGGAACAAACTAGTGAGCATCACTGCACGAACTGAGAAAGTTAAAACCTTGTATTTATCTCCCACGCGTTTCGTCTGGCAATAGCAGACTTCATCAGGGGGTTTTATAAGTACGGTAAATAAGCTTGCTCATACACAAATAGTGAATAAGTTGTCTCTTTAGTATTGAGGCTAATGTAAAGAAGTCGCAGGTGCGCCTACGGTGTTGTACATGCGTAACATTTTTCGAACGTTACATGTACGAGTACGTGATCGATTTGAGGGTCACAAATTTAGTTATGCAACCCCTCAAAACATTACATCCTCATCCATGTAACATATCTAGTTTAAAAAGGTCATAGAATACTTCATTGCATGGATTTGCCCTCTGCGGCTAGAAAGCTAAAAGCGAATTTCTCGGGCGTAATTACTTTTGATTTCTCAATTTATCATGTCACAAACACAGTTTTTGGGAGTCACGAAACAAAAAACTTATCGGGACCTAGTTTCATGTTCTATTGGTAATAAATAGCAAATAAAAAAACATTCTCTTGAGAAATAAAGTTATAAATAACAGGGTTCTTGGAAACAAATAGTGATAGAGAATGTTTGAGTTCTGGTCAATAGAGAGAATAAAAGCACAAATAAAGAAAAAGGAGAAAACACAGGGAACCGTGTTGTTTGCCTTTTTGCAGCGTGCAGATATCTTTTGAACCAGACCAACACACCTAAACCTTTGACCCGACACCACGCAATGAAGCTCGCATGTCCACGTAGGAAAGGCCATGACATGACAGGCCATGAAAATAATGGCAAATGCATACGGTATCTGTAGCCAAAAAACAGGAAAATAAAATAACTGAAAGGTTCAGAACTTTCTAGAAGTGTTACCTTGGAAAAATAAAAAAAAAAGGTAAACAACTTTTACTTCTCAAGAAAGGTCACGCAGTCACGCTACAAATACTATTTCTGCGTGGAATTTCTTGATGGTGGAAAGTGGAAACAACATTTCCATTCTTATTGTCCGGAAAAATGGCTCAGTTAATGAATTTCATGGGGTTACTGATATTTCCTTTCAAATGAGGGGGGTAGAGTCTCCCGTCATTCAAGGTCTGGAAAAGCCGAAATTGTTACATACAGGAACTTGCAGCGTCAACCAACACGCAGCGTGTGACTTTAATATCTCCTAAAACGAGCGATAATGATGGCAAACAATCCAATTATAGACTAATTAAAGTTTTGAACCCTAACAAAGCCAAAGTAATAAACGACAGAAGAGAGAAACGCCACGATTTTATCATCTATTTTTCGCGTACATGCATCTCGCTAAACGTGAAAGTTTCCATTTCTACAAAAAGTCTCGAAAGCTTTCTTGATCAATCTACTTGTGTAAAGAGCGATAAAATGTAGGTTTATTTGGTCAAGTGACCGCCTAGAGCCAGAATTGCGCGACAGGTTTAGTTGAGAGAAGCTTGTCACAAGGTAGGCAATAAAATCTTATCTGTCACTAAAAAGAAACACCATCGCCATGGGTAGAATTAGGGTAAACATTTTTTTTTCTGTTAAAATGTCGAAAAATCTGAGATCAATAATAATTTACATGCATTTTTTCATTCTCAGGGATAGAAAAATTTCAAAACTATTCCTTAATGATATAGTAGCCTAGTTAACTTCAGGTACTGCAAAGGAAATGAAACAGGAGTTTGTTTCTTTAAACCCACTTCTCAGAATTTCATTGAAGTACTCAAACTGTTCAAACCTTTCACATGGAACACTGCTATCAGTATTTGTGGGAGATTCAAACTTTCAAGTTTATAAAACCGTTCTCACACGCTTCAAATAAACCAAACAAAATACAGATAAAAACAAAGTTTCGACTTCGCGGTCATATTTTAAGCATATTAATTCATCTAAATCGATTTAAAAAGCCCTACATATCATAATATTAAGAGAACCTATTCATTGCCAAAACGGCTCATAAACAACAACAATACTTTATTTCATAATTCCTTACTAAATTACATTCAAATTTTTAAGTGCATTTGGGTAATTTAAATTGCCATATATTTAAAGGAAAAATTAGTTAGAGATATATAGAGCAGAAAGGTCTCATAAATCATACAGTTTTTTGGTAAGGTACTGGTCTTGTTGCTGAAAAATTTACATTCAAAATGAAGAAATTTGCATACATACACGACACATTCACACACTTTGTGCTGAAATAAAAGAATTAGAATTCAACTGGGTTTATATTTTATATTTGCATCGATGGTTAAGAGTGTTTAACTCCTCATGGGGAACTAGGAAATATTAAGATCTTTGACTTCTCGTGGTAGTATTTGCCAATGGTAGGGTGCTACAGCTGTTACACCATAGATGCTATGTTACACTTTCTACATAAAAAGTTGAGGAACTAACATTCTGAAAGAAATAAGCTTCACTATTACTCAGAACGCTTTCGCTAGGGTGAAGTCAGCCAACCGCGAAAGAAGTATAAAAGTTTTGACGAGAAGCGTCTACTTGTTTACTTTAGCCTCCAGGCCAACCAGGTCGCTTTTCAACTTTCACTCTTGATATATTGATGAATTTAACAAGCTCTGAAAAGCTCACCAAAATTATCAAAGAATTCTCCAGAAACGCCACATTTGGCCGCCATAAATGAAAATGAGCTTAGTTCAACGCATAAAAATCTAAAAATTATCTTTCCTAGAGATATGCTTTTCTTGTCTCCACTTTGTTATCATCAAGAGTCGCAAATGGTTATAACTCAGTCTCAGAAAATAGATCTCCACAACCATGTCAAAAAACCTGGTTTAGTAGCTTCATCTAACTTAGCCTTTAATTTTTCTTTCTGCTTCTCGATGGACAACAATTCCTCTCTAGCTTTTGCAAGTTGCAGCTTTAATTTTGTTATTGTTGTGTCACTCTTCTCTATTTTTGACTCATGAGCTTCAAGCTGCTGTTGCATCTGCTCCTGAGCCTGTGCATTTTCGTCCGTCGCATTTTGCATCTCTGTGCGCAGACATTCGATTTGTTTCTGTGCCTTACTTCCTTCATAATCGTAGCGTTCTTGCAAATTCATCAAAGCTTGAGCGGCTTGTTTCTCTCTGTCAGTAGTAGCCTTTAACATTGCTTGGAACTGCTCTCGCGATTTCATGTGTGCATCATGAACAATTTCCATGTTTTTCTCGAGTGACTCTTTGTCTGCTTTCGCTTGTTCTTTGACGCTTTCTAGATCAGCTTTTTGCTTCTCTTCAAGCCTTGTGACCTGTTAAAGGATGAATATGGCAGGCCAATCGGTTTTCCTTGCACAAAATTCGCTTTCGGTTTTGTGGTTATCTGGTCACTCTTAAGTGTTTGAGCTTTTACTACGATTTCCACACGCCCATAATCATGCAAGCAGTTTATTGAAAAATTGAACGTTTCTGTTGTTAGATCTTGAGTTATAAAAAATTATTCTAACGTGTGTTTCTTTCTGGTTTTTTACTCAAGACCCAGACACGATGGTTGCGTTTCCATTCTCTTTCATTGTCTTTACCGTTCAATTTATCTGCATTATCTCCGAAAGGTAATGACCTAGAGCTCAGTTTTCATTGATGGCTATGACCTCTCTACCGCGTTTGCTAAAAAAGACGACACGATTCAGAACTGGAATGAGAATCGCATTTGGAAACAGTCAGGGCAGGAGACGAATGATCAACATATTTTTTTCTACGTTTTCTTTAGATAGCTGCACGTCGCAATTGGAGTGATTTTGTTAACTTCTTATAAATTTGGCTTTGTTCATTTATTTTGCTCTGGTCACCTATTCAGCAGCTTTAGTGCTTTCCCGGCAGCCTACACTCGTAAGAGTTAAGTCGGAGGTTTGAATAATTTTCCCAAAATACTGATGTAAACAGAACCAATGAAACATCTTGGCTATGATTACTGAATTGAGAAGCTCATGCGAACCTTCATGTACAAAGAAACCTCTGGAGCTTTTCAAGTTGTAATTACCTTCTTTTCCCATGCTTCTTCTTTCTTTTTCATCTGATTTATTTCCTTCTGCAAATAAATCAATCAAAGTTAAATGTTTGGTTACCCCTAATTAGGATTGCGCCCTGCATGCCTGCATTACCATTAAAACATTGTATAAGTCCTTCAAAAAGAAATTTGATGTATTTTTTTATGGGAAGGCGCGTGAACGGTAAGTTTATTGATGTTTAGCCACCAAGTAATAGGCTATATATCAGTTTGTGCCATTGAATAGATTTAACGCAAAAAAGACTAAATTAGGACCACTTTTAATATTTAAAAACAAGTAGCACACCTGTAGTTTCATTTTCACTTTCTCTTGATAGGCTACTGCCATCTTTTCCTTAGCAAGATGATCATTGAAGTCCTTCAGTTTTAAAAGAATTTCTCGGTATTTGGAAACTTCGTCATGTAATTCCTTTCATTTCGAGAAAAGAAAAAGATTCATTATAATTTAATGAAGTAATGAAGCCTTTTAGAGCCCAAATTTGGAAAACAAACAAACTTCTAATATCAGAGGAATTCCTCAATGTTTCCAATGTTCACTTGACGTAACCTTATAATCTTGGAGAATTAGGCGTTCAAACGCTAGCTCTCCATACTTTAGCAAACAATGTCAGAGCGTCTTGGCAAAGATTAATCATTGAAATATGCCTTTTCGGAATACTTCATTATGAATATAGCTAAACGTATTGATGCCCCAGGGTCAGCAAAGGCTTTTGAAAGACGTCTAGTGTTTCCATGTTCGCGCTGTAGAAACAACGGTTTTCCATTATCTTTCTAATTGTAGAGTCCGCTCGGTCTACTGTGCATCATTTCCACGGCTGGGACTCATTTTTCAGAGAAAACATTTCTTTGTTAACTAGAGGTAGCATTAGATGACAGACCACTTGTTAGTTGGAAATACGGGAAAAAGCCACATTAAGTGAGCTGGTGAATCTTTCCATTCATTTAAATTTTTTTTCTTCATATCTATTATTTCATGACAGCTACAGCATACAGCTGATAGTTCTTACCAATTTACCTTAGTAAAGTTCAAGAATACATCGGCCCTAACATCCTTTGCACCAATAGCTTTCTTGGCAAACTCGTGTTCAAGAGTATTACACTGATCCATGATATCACTATATTTCACTTCGCCGTCATGTCGGCTGTTTCGCACGCATTTAAATACTGGATCTACGTACTCAGCCTTGAGGTCACGCAGAAGTTTTTCACACTCCTGGCGCGTGCATGTGGCATTTTCTTCCAGCCATGCCTTCATCTGCTGTTCCATATTTTCCTGTTGGAAATTAACAGATAGTGAAACTTAGAATTCGAGAATTGAGAGTCTCGCCTTTAAATTTGTAAGATACATGAGTGATGCACCATTAATTTACCTACCGACAATTCACGGGACTCCTTGCCAGTACATATGGAAATAAATTCGGCTGTTTCATCCGCGTATAACTGCATACTCCTCTCTTGAAAACGTTCGTGATGCTTGAGAATTTCTTCATCTTCGCATGGAAAAATCGATTTCATTTGCCGAGTCATATTTTGATCGTAAATTTGCAATGCGCGTGTCTTCACTTCCGAGCACTTTTCCTTGACATAGGTATCCCAAGCCGCTTCAACATTTGGGATAGCATTCGGATCGTTTAACGCGTCTGTGTATAGCTTGACCAGAACTCCAAGAGCTGCAAACCCCAAAAAAATAGTAACAATAACAAACGATTGAACAAAATCTAAAACTATTCGCAACTGTAAAACAAGCTCGAGGAGGATCACCTAAAATGGATACGCTACTTTAATTGGGAGATCTAACAGCTGCGGCAAAATCTTGTCTTGTTGTCCATCATACACGCCTCTCTCCCCCACCTCACCATATCTTATCGCGTTGTCCAGTTGTCCATCATACATACCCTCCCCCCCCCCCCCCCCATCTGTGTCCTTGTTATTTTAAATGCCTTTCAATATCCTTCGGTTCGTTGAGTATCATCTCTGCAAGACTGATTACTCGTGAAAGTCACACCATTTACTATCATTATCACTTTGTTGTGCATCTTGGCGCATTTTGCAGGCCAAGACAGACACTTTGAAGGGCGAAATACATCAAATCTTAGCGACTCGGTCTAAAATAATGCTGAGTCGGTCCCAGAACATTTATATACCCACGAATATAAACTACTCTTTTAAGATTGAACAATAGAAAACGTAAAGTGGGGTGCATACCTTGGCCAGTAATTTTCTCTCCCTTGTTGATACTTGGCTTGGGAGTAAGTTTAGATTTTAGAAGGGCCTCAAATTTTTGTAAAGCCTGGAGGAATTTTTGACTTAACTTTTCCCTTGAATTACTCATATCTTGCAATACTTCATCTTCAATTGAGGGCGTGGGCAGAGCGAAGGCTTCAAATCCAGCGAAAAGCTGCAATATGCTTTCACCGACTTTTTGTCCATCTTTCTCGCTATTTGTGGTCTCTGCTGATTCCTTGAAAACCTAAGGATTACGACGGTTGTTGAGTATGCAGGCTTATGTAACAATCATTCGCAGACAATGAGGGAGTAAAACTTGACTTTGACTGATTGAAATTGACTTTTTGGGGGCTATTCACACGCAGCAAGGGGCGTAGATGACACTGTGGGGTTTTAAATCGCAAAAAGATATTCCCGACAAACAACCAATAGGAAAAAAAATTAAACAGGACAAATCATATCAAGAGATCGATTTATCATTATAAGATGTCAAGGATGCGAGTGTTTTTATAAAAACGACAATACTAATAAATTTAAACGCACTTTTAATCAACAGCCCTAGAATCAATTTAGAATGGAAGGGTAACCAGGACTGAATTTTACAATAAGACCATGATGTTTTAAGAGTGAAGCGTAACGAGTCTATCTTACTAACCAAAAGACAAGCAGTATCACTACGCAGCTGAAACGTAGCAATTCAAACCGTAAAAAATGAATTAGGATAGTAAATGAGCAATAAATCTTAAATTTGCCTTCTTGAGATTTGCTATTTTTTATAAAGAATTGACACAGCCGTTCCCCAGAGCTCTTACACTAAATCAAATACTTCCTTCAATTTTGTAAGTTTTTGTGAATGATTGTTTGATTGTTTAGCGTAAGTTTTTTCGTAACCATGATCTGGTCACTATAGGTAAAGAACAACATGAGGCAAAGCTTAACCTTTAAAGTTGAAAAGCGGGAAAACTGTAAAACAATTCATCTTAATCTTACCCTTTTTGCAAAGTACTGGTTGATATCCTTGCAGTCTGGAGGAATTTGATTGGTGGTATCTCTAAGAAGCCAAATAAAGAATGGAAATGTGTTTCGGAACAGTTCCTTATCGTCCGAGCCGCTTTCCGATCGTATTCTGATTTTCTTGGACATTTTAACGATGAAGCTTAATCATTATCAAGAATTTAATAAGTTACGAATTTGCAGACAAGGACTTCTTTGGCTACTACTATAGGATTGTAATCAAAATGTCAATTCCACCCAAAAAAAGAAAGAAGAAGGGGAAGAAAGCGCAAGAGCCTGAAAGATAAAGTTAACTTCGCAATCTTAGTAATGCCCAATATACCCTCGATAATATTCTTCTTTGATCATATTCCACATAATTAAAACCAACTCAATAACAAAATGATGTGGCACCTCTCAATTGATGACGACTAAATTAAGCAATAGAACTATTGTAATCAACAACTATTCATGGGAGTGGAGGGGTCTAGCGGTCGATATTTCCCTAGCCGTGAGGCAGCGAGGTAAACATTCACCGCTTATCACCGACATTGAAGTGAACAGTCGTTTGATTAAATACTAAAACAGTGGGTTATAAAGTGAATGAAGAAGCAACAGCACGTTTCGATTTAACTCTTTTACTTAGCATTTTGTTACCTTATTTAGATAATTTTAACTCATTCCTGCCACAATTATATTATTTTCGGTGCAAGTCCCGCACGAGTTTCTCGATGGTGACTTGCAAAGGATGTATATCAAGTCTTCAGCGCAATCCACATTTTTAGTATATACTCAAAAGTCTATTTGGTGTCGCCCATTAACTGACCAGAGGCGAATGCGAACGCTATCCAATAAAGGGCGAAATCTTGCAGATGGCATGAGAATTAGATACATTTTTTTTTACTCCTGATCATTTGAAGAAAGATGTGAAAGTTGGGGGTTGTTGTCTGTTAAAAGGATACTCCAAACCATTGAGGTCAGTCCTTTTAGGAACGCCCTTTGAATTGTAAATCAACACTGAGGCCAGTAAAACAGTTAGGGTGAAGATCTGGTTATCGTTTTGACCACCTGCAGTTACAGCATCGATTCCCTCTGAGTCTAAAAGAATCACTCGAAAATCCCGACCACTTGAGTCCTAAAACAGTTGCATATCGTTTAAATCAACATGTTAATTAAAAACTATACATAGAAAAACTGCGAAGCACATCGAGACTAAGCTGTATACCGATTCCATTGACTTCTCCTCTAAAGTGCAGTTACAAAATGGATATTTATAAAACCCTTTAAAAGTAGAAAATAAAAAAGTCAAGGACAACAACGAAAGATTTAAAGTAATAAACAAACCCAATATAAAGTTGTTAATTAATGTTTCCGATTTCAGTCTTCTGAGGAAAATTTAAGCAGCAACACGTTATACATTTTTTTTTTCACTTGAAGTGAGAGAACTTTAACTTTAAATTCTCTATTTATCACAATCATTACCAGATTTCTATGTTGTTTAGAATGTTACTCCCGTCTTCTCTTATGAAATCTCTTTGAATTTTAGCATTTTATAAATATAACAGCTGAAGGTCTTTCACTTTTCATTTTTCTCAAAGTGAACTTTTAGTATCTCTTCATGTGTGACCTTGTATTTGTCCTCGAAAATTCAGTAATAGATATTTTAATATTTTTTAATATGCTAAAAAAGACGAACCTGTCACATATGACTAATTAGATCTATCCGTCCATTCAAACCTGAAAAACTTCGGGCACAATCCACATCCACAGTCCAAACGTCTCAGGGTCCAGGTAATGACCAATCGGAAATATGTTCTTCCCACCAAAAACCTCGCTCAGTATGTAGGATTTACCTTGTCTATATGGTCCAACAATGGACACAACGCACACTGGTTCTGAAATATGAGGAAAAATTTCAGAAAATTCTAGAGCGATAGTGAAAGTATCGTGCCCCGCACGAAACAAATTTGGAGAAAAATAGACCCAAAACCTTAGGTTGTAGCTAATATCATACAAAAACTTATTAGTAACGCGCCTTTTACTCAGTGCTCTGCTCATAATGAGAACTAAAGTTGTGAGGTCATAAAACCTATAAAATCTCTCGTAGATTGTTTTTTTTAGTAATAAGAATAATGAAAGACTTAAGAAAACATTCTTTTACTACGTACGCGCTTTTTCATTGGTAAAATATGAAGTTGCACACTATCAGTACTATCCTAATAAATCTTGATATGACTCCCGATGTCATCGTCAACGTCATCACTCTTGTTTTCGTTTTCACTTTCAGTACCATCATTACAAATGCTTTCTTAATTTTCATCATTGCTAGTATTAATACAATCATACCTTCAACGATTATGAAATTACCTTTAATGCCCTCTAACATCTCAATAGCGGCTGGAATTAGAGCAAGGGAACATCGTTTATCATCTGTTTTGTGAATGTTACCAGACATTGGATCCCAGCTAAAATTATTCGGTAAACAAAGGGGAATTGCCTTTTCCGGTGACAATAGTGGTACTTTCTATCGCGATAAAGATGCAAAACGAAAAGCAAAGTTAATCAAAGTGGATGTGAGCCACTCAACTCAGAAAATGTCTTATGAACGAGTGTTGAGGTGTACGACTAAAATGAGTTCGTTTGAATCAATTGGTCACTGCCCTCAGTCTGGAAATTATTTTCCCTTTATTTTTCCCTTGCACTTCACCTCGGGATGGTACGAACTCTGCTGAAAAAATCTCACAAGGCGAGACCGAAACCACCACGGGATTATCCGAGTTTTCACGTTCAACACGCGAATTTTCCATCTTAAGAGCTAATTTTTACATTTCATATATAGAATCGTTGCTTTAAATGCCATCTTTGGAGTGAACAAAAAAAATATAGTGCAAGCACAAACATGACATTGTGAATCGCTTCGATTGCTCACGATCTGATGTGAAACAAGAACCGTAGGAACAGGTAAAGTTTATTGGTAACACTTCTGCGGACGAAAATAATCCCGCCCTTTTCTGAGATAAAAAGAGACTCGTCGAATTCACCGTATCTTATCTTCTAATTATATCAGTCAAAAACTCTACATTCATATAAAATGCGTTCTGAAGTTTATCTTTCCGAGGCAGAAAACTGACAGAGATTTGATTTTGTTATCAGATGCAGGCGGGAGAAAACCCTGAAAGCGTACATGTACGATCATCGCGTTACAATGCAATATCACGGAACGACTGTTAGGTGAAACGAGACATAGGAATTTAAGAGAGGGGACATTTTGCTTGTGCAGACGAAGAAAAATTTGGATCGCAGCGTCTAAATTTGAATACTTCTCAAACAGAAATCTGATAAATGCAGAAAATTATTTTGCATTGTTTTGGTCGACCGCCCAGGGTATGCGTTTATTATTCTGCGGAGTTTTAATAGAATTAACATATATTTTCAGTTCATGAACCTGTTTTACTTCTAGATGACAGATGTGAGTCGAACTGTTGAACATCCATTGAACCAGCTGCCAATGAGAGCTTAAAAAAAACCTTGTGCACTGGTCAGTGGGTCCACTAAAAGAGTTACTAGGAATTGAAAGATCGATCGTAGGAGGGGCTTTCGAGGTCCTACCGAAGCACAGACACTATTTTCTGACGAGAAAAACGAAGAAACTTGTGGGCAACATGATGACTGTGCTCTTCATAGACCAGGCTGTCTGGTGATTCAATCTCTTTTTTTTTCTGTATTTTTTTTTATAGACTTCGTACACTTACAGAATGCCCGTTTCTCCATGTATGAAAGTCCATGCAATTGAATTTAATAGTAAATAGTCAGCCGCAAAGTGGACGAGAGAGCATCTTCAGCAAAGGTGGGACGTGTCTGGTGTTTGGCACCTCCCAAATTTCAAGATTCAGCACCTTGTCTCGCCGACCCGACACGAGACAACTCGAACATAAAATGCGCGCGCACGCCATGACCAGGATGTTTACGGCTATTTTTCTCCTGTCGTCTGCCATTTTGTCAAATAAGTAACCTGGCCAAACAAGGGTCAGCAAATGTTAAAGTTAATAAAAACGCTCCGTAAAGTTCTCTTGCGGGGAGGGTTGTCTCGGGTAGCCGAGACCATATAAATGGGGCTTAAGGCATAGTTAAAAGTAGAGATTTCTATCCAAAGTGCACTTTTGGAAAAGAAATCAAGACGCACATGCATCTAGTGCTCATTTCTGATTGGGAAGAAAGACAAATTTAGAAACAGCTTTCCGAAATACATAATCAGGAAAAAACATCACCGACGATAGATGAAACCTAATCATCAACATTCGGCTTAGCTTTTAAGATTATTTTCAATGAAAAAACTAATTGTGTCGAGATAGACAACAGTAATTCATCTCCCATTTTGAAAATCAAACTTAAATGCAATAAACCACACTTGCGTATTATGATAATGATAATGATAAGGAATTTATACAGCGCTAAAAACCATAAACAATATTCAGAAACGCTTTACATAAGTTAAAGTTCTATACTAGTTAAAATTAAAATATTCAAAGGCAATAAACATGAGAACTATTGAAACAAACTGAAAGCTTTCCTAAATAGAAATGTTTTAAGTTTCTTTTTAAAAATGGCAAGGCTTATATTTGTTCTTATAGCTAATGGCAGCCAGTTCCATAAAACAGGTGCGGCATGAGCAAAGGCCCGATCCCCAAGTGAAGAACAGTTGGCTTTTGCAACGAACAGAAGAGATTGAGCAGACGAGCGACGAGCATAATTTGTAGCTGGTCTCTGGGACAAAATATCTTTAATGTGGGGACTTTGGTTGCGTAATGACTTGTAAACAAACAGGAGCAATTTAAACTGAACTCTGAACGTTACTGGGAGCCAATGTAAGTCCATAAGTGCAGGTGTGATATGATCAAATTTCGGAATCTCAAAAACACTCTAGCCACAGCATTCTGAACTTTCTATAGGCGATCGAGTTGATATTTAGGTAGACCGAGGAGAAGTGCGTTACAGTAATCAAGGTGTGAGGATATAAAAGCGTGGACCAGTATCTTAGTCGATTGAACAGTAAGGAATTTTCTGATCTGTCTTATGTTGTATAATCCGCGAAAAGCCCTGCTACAAATCTTGCCTACACGAACATTCATTCGCATATGGGCATCGAACCAGGACCCAAGGTTCCGGACGCTTTTTAAAGGTTTAAGAGGGTGTCACCGATAATAATAAATTCAATAGATGTTTTTTCAAGTTGTTGGTGGGTGCCAATAATTAGAAACTCAGTTTTTGTGTCGTTGATCATTAAACGATTAGCAATAAACCAAGAACGAACATCGGCAATGCACGTCTCAATCGCAGAGACAGCGTTAATTTCGGAATGGATAGAGCAAGTTCGGAAGGAGAGGTAAATCTGGGTGTCGTCAGCATAACCATGGACGGAAGGGAGATGCTGAGAAATAATATAGAAGAGGCGGGAGACGTAGAGAGTGAATAAAATAGGCCCCATGCAACTACTACTACGAAAATGTGAAATGTGTATATGAAACCATGTAAAATGACACGTACGAAAAATTAAAAGCTAGACAAATTTTCGTGCAATATGGGAGGAGGTGATGAAGGCAAACCATTCTCTTTGATAATAAAATCTGTTCCTTTCTTCTAAAGCCTTCTTAATTCTTTAAGGACCCTCTATTGGCAAGATTAGATTGTATTCTGTCAGCTTTTACAAAAAAGACAGTTCCGGTGGAACAAAAGTTCAAAAATTGTAATTAGATATTCTGGAAAATAAAAGTGCACTTTCAGCAGTGTCTTGTTATTCATAAAAACGTTTTATGTGCATGTAAATGAGCGTTCTTGCCCTCGCTTTTGAGCGAGAATTTTATGGTCTTTAAACATGCTGTCGAGGCGAGAATTTAAAAGAATAACAATTCTCACAATTTTCATCCAAGAAATCTGATTATCCTTCCGCGCTCTGCACAAATGGTGTCAAGGATTTCGGTTTTCAAAACAAAGTAATAAATATTCCCGGCGAAACTATTTCTATAAATACTTTTCTATAAACCTTTAAGTTCATACTTTTCATTTATTCCATATAAATTTTGAAAGTATTGCCCTACGTTGTCTGTACTTTTAGATGATATATCTAACCATACACAAGTTCCTTCGAGATGACACTTACCATAGAAATATCTAGCATGAGAGTAAAACACTTTAACATGGCCATCATTAAGAGAGTAAACATCTGTTTTGCTCTGATATCAATGGCTCAAAAGCTCTTTCTAAGCCCACACAGTACTGCATTTTGTATCTCCTTTAACACGTCATGTTGGTGTACACACAGCGCTGTTTTGTCCAGTACAGCACACTTTTGTTGTCTAAATCATTTGAGCAATACATCAGCTTCGTCTGATCCTATGTTATTTGATACGGCACAAACATCGTAGCACAAAATGCGTTCATAATTTTCACACAAAGTAACAAAACTAAAGAAAATAATAGCAAAAGATAAATAGCAGCCGATAATGTGCCCAATTTGAACAAAAACGTACTAAATGTAATCATTATGATTAAGGTCACAAAATACGGTAGATACGTGTATCTTCACTTTCGTAAGAGCCATTTATGCAATCCAGCAACATGGCGTCCGTATTGTTGTTTCCTGCTAATTGGTTACGCCGTATCATGTGTTTATCGGCACCTAACAAGTTAGCTAATGTTCTTTGGTCGTCTCTAATTACCAGTTGAATTTTATGGTCATTGATAATCAATTTGATTCCTGGTTTGATTCAGCTAACACCTTGGCTACGTCAATTGATTTCCTTGCTATTTTGAGTTTGCAGAACGATTCGTTTAAAATTGTACGCTAATTGCTATCTTTTAAAGTGGATCTACTGCGAACAGCTTATGTGTCTGTTCGTTTGAGAGAAGAAAAGATGACAGATTGCCATTTCATTCTCATTTTTCTACGTCGTGCAAACGGAATTTTACTTCGAGAAACGAGGACGTCGGCATGACCTCGTCCCAAGTTTCCACGGTCTACGCCTGGGACCATGACCCCCCCTTTAGCGACAAAACACGAATAAACGGCCTGCAGATTAGACTCTCGACGCTTACGGCTAGGCTCGAGTAATCCGCCATTACGAAAGAGGTCCCTTATTAGAACACTTTTTTCTCCTTATCAAAGCAAACTGGATCAACTGATATTTTAACCTACCGATGGCGAGTTGGTCGTGTTCGTTTGTCCTCCAGTTTTCTGTGTTTTTTGGGGGGATTTTGGGTTTTTTTCTCTCTTTTTGGATGACAGATCATTGCTTTCTTTCCTTTGAGAATGCGTGGTTCCACTCTTCTAACAAAGCAATAAAATGAAAAAAACATTAAAATCCTACTTATTTTACATGACAAAACCTTCATGGAAAAAGTTGTCCAGTCTACACCTTGGAGATATTTCCACTCACTGTTGCCAGGGGTGAGACTAGAGGACATGGCCGGCACGAGTCCGTTGATTGGCCCTTTTCGTCAAATGAAATGTTGTTTTGTTTCTTCCTGTCTTCTTGGCATAATTGATTTCGCCCCCAGTTTCTATGGTCTACGTAAGGAACGCCTGGAACCGTGATCCCCTTTTAGCGACGAAACAGAATTAACGGCCTGCTGATTGAGACTCTCACCGCCTACGGTCAGGCTCGAGTAATAAACATGTCCGCCATTATGAAAGAGGTCCCTTATTTGACCACACTTATAATTAAGTCTTTTAAAGTTACTTTAAGAACATCTTTTTCTCCTTATCAGGACGACTGGATCAATTGATGTTTTAACCTACCGATGACGAGATGGTCGTGTTCGTTTGTCTTCCAGTTTTCTGTGTTTTGGGGAGGGATATTGTGTTTTTTTCTCTCTCTTTGGATGATAGATCATTGCTTTCTTTCCTTTGAGAATGCGTGGTTCCACTCTTCTAGCAGGATAACAAAATGAAAAAACATTAAAGTCCTACTAATTTTACATGACAAAACCTCCATAGAAAAACTTGTCTAGTCTACACCTCAGAGATAGGTGGGATTCTAAAGACATGGAGAGGGCTTTTTGCATAGTTTGATCCTCATCTCCTGTCTGATGTATTTTGGAGGGCTTGGAAATAATAAAATTAATCAAATTTATGTCAACAAGTAATTCATTTCTGTTTTTCTCATTAATTTTTTGGTCTGGTTCCATTCTTCTGGCAAGGCAACAAAATGAAAAAACATTAAATTCCTATTAATTTTATATGACAAAACCTCCATAGAAAAACTTGTCTAGTCTACACCTCAGAGATATTTCCACTCACTTTTGCTTGGGGTGAGACCGGAGGACATGGCTGCCTTGAGTTTGTTGATTGACCCTTTTCGTTAAATGAAGTGTTTTTTTGTTTCTTCTTGTCTTTTTCTTGTCGGTGGGATTCTAAAAACATGGAGAGGGCTTTTTGCATAGCTTGATCCACATCTCCTGTCTGATGCATTTTGGAGGGCTTAGAAATAACAAAATTAATCAAATTTATGTCAGAAAAATAATTCATTTCTGTTTTTCTCATTATTTTTTTGTCTGGTTTTACTCTTCTAGCGAGTCAACAAAATGTAAAAAACATTAAAGTCCTACTAATTTTACATGACAAAACCTTCATGGAAAAACGTTTTCAGTCTACACCTCAGAGATATTTCCACTCACTCTTGCTAGGGGTGAGAAGAGAGGACATGGCTGCCTTGACCTCGTTGATTGACCCTTTTTGTCAAATGAAGTGTTGTTTTGTTTCTTCCTGTCTTCTTCTTGTCGGTGGGATTCTAAAGACATGGAGAGGGCTTTTCGCATAGCTTGATCCTCATCTCCTGTCTGATGCATTTTGGAGGGCTTAGAAATAATAAAATTAATCAAATTTATGTCAGAAAAATAATTCATTTCTGTTTTTCTCATTATTTTTTGTCTGGTTTTACTCTTCTAGCGAGGCAACAAAATGTAAAAAACATTAAAGTCCTACTAATTTTACATGACAAAACCTTCATGGAAAAACTTTTTCAGTCTACACCTCAGAGATATTTCCACTCACTCTTGCTAGGGGTGAGACGAGAGGAAATGGCTGCCTTGAGCTCGTTGATTGACCCTTTTTGTCAAATGAAGTGTTGTTTTGTTTCTTCCTGTCTTCTTCTTGTCGGTGGGATTCTAAAGACATAGAGAGGGCTTTTCGCATAGCTTGATCCTCATCTCCTGTCTGATGCATTTTGGAGGGCTTGAAGATAATAAAATTAATTAAATTTATGTCAACAAATAATCCATTTCTGTTTTTCTCATTATTCTTTTTGTCTGGTTCCACTCTACTGGCAAGGCAACAAAATGAAAAACATTAAAATCCTATTAATTTTACGTGACAAAACCTTCATGGAAAAAATTTTCAGTCTACACCTCAGAGATATTTCCACTCACTCTTGCTAGGGGTGAGACGAGAGGACATGACTGCCTTGAGTTCGTTGATTGACCCTTTTCGTCAAATGAAGTGTTGTTTTGTTTCTTCTTGTCTTCTTCTTGTCGGTGGGATTCTAAAGACATGGAGAGGGCTTTTTGCATAGCTTGATCCTCATCTCCTGTCTGATGCATTTTGGAGGGCTTGGAAATAATAAAATTAGTCAAATTTATGTCAACAAATAATTTTTTCATGTTTTTTTAATTTTTTTGTTTGTCTGGTTGTTGTTGTTGATGTTGTTTTTTGTCTTCTCAGATGTAAGTTGCTAAAAGACAGATACTAAGAATAGACGTCCATAGGAAAAAGTACACACCATCCAAAAAATTACACTGAAGTGGTGGTGTGATTCATTTGTGATATTAAGAATGACAGAGGCAGGAACAACACATTGAGCTTTTTCCTATTCCTTAGTAAGATGATTAGACTTTGAATTCAACACCCAAACTGGGTGAGATTAAATGAATTAATATCATGCTTCATAATGGTTTGTTTATATGGCAAGGTGATTGTTATTATAGTTTACAGATGTTTTGGTCGCCATCCCAATAACCCTTTAACTCCTTGATCAAATTTGTAATTCTCCTTACTTTCAACCATACAATTCTTACGTTGTTCAGAGAATTTAGTATTGGATCAACTAATTATCCTCAAATTTATATTTGCCTTTATTCTCATCACTTATCTGGTTGATATTGTATTGATAGTGTAGGGAAAAATTCTGTCTTGGTCACTCATGGGAGTTAAAGGGTTAACATTCATAACAAATTTTCATTTGATATAGAATGTTTCAAAAACCTTTTGCCTTTCTCTTAAATAATAATAACCATTTAAATAAATAAAACTCTTAAATAATAAATACCATTTATTATTTCTGGAGCACATTTAACCCTTTAACTCCCAAGATCTCATTAGTAATTCTCCTTACTGTCTGCCATACAGTTCTTGTCATGTTAGTTTTGAGAATTTGGTATTGGATCAGCTAATAATTCCCTAGTTAATATTTTTATATATTCTCATCACTTGCCTACTTGATATTGTATTGATATTGTAAGGAGAAATTCTGTCTTGGTCACACATGGGAGTAAAAGGGCTAAAGGAAGCAGGTTATAAAAAAAAATTATGATTTAGGTAATTATTTGACTATGTCAGTAACATTTGATGTTTTTACATGTAACGGGATAATAAAGCTGAAGATAGCCTCAAAAAGGAATGAACTCCACCGTAACAATCAGGTGACTAATTTGGAAACTTGAGCACTTGGTAAATACACCTTGGCTCGCAATTCTGATGTTTAAAGTTTGCTGAGGTAATTGAAATGTCAGTCCCCATGTAGGAACCTTCCACATGACCCGTACAGTCGTATTGTGACGATAGGTTTTCGCTAGCTAAACTGGACTTTCGCGGGAAACGTAGAATCGGGGAAATTTAGCTCGGTAGAGACCACTCGGCTTGCGAGAGCGGAAACTCGTCACGATTTCCTGGCACACGGAGATCTGCTTCGAGTGAGCTTGTACGGAAGTCAAGGAAGAGACAGCGTTTTGGGTCCGCGGTAGACTTTTATTCGCAGAGCGCTCTAACATACAACATGTTAGAGTCAAAACTTAAACTGTAATCATCAGAGCTGTACAAGGTACTTGCTTAAGAACTAACTGGTGTGAGGTGCTATTGTTACACAAACCGCAATATTTAAATAAGGAAACAAAGGAGCGTAAAAGGTCTCTTTGAAGTTAAACGAAAACTACTTAGATATTCTATCTGTTTCTACGACGGAAAGAATTTCAAAATTAAAAAGACGGATGCAATAAACTCGAGGCCATTAAAGTAGGAAACTTAGGTGCGAATTCACAGCTCTGGTATAAAAATAATACCTATCTTAATTGCAGTAGCGCAGCTTAGGAAATAAAAACGGAAAAGCAATTAAAAGTTTCTGCTTATCTATGCAAGATTGGTGTGGAACTATCGTATGAAAAGAAATTAAAGTTACGAGTATAAACTCAGCTGCTAACTACCATGAAAACCAATTTTTCAAGAAAGACCATTGACACTTATATTTACCTAAAAAACCATGTAATAAATAACAAAAGTGCCGACAAGCAGGTGCATATGATGAAAGCGAGTAACAACAAAAATCTATTCAAAAGCTACTGTGGTTTTTATACATTTTATTTAACTCACTGGAAGGAAAAACCCGAATAACCCAAATATTTAAAATGCGAAACTAGGAATACATGTGGTGGATATTTGCCCCAAAACTCACGAAACCCTAAGTATAATATTTTACGTTGTACATTGACAATTCAATTTTTCGATTATAATAATTACAATCATTGTGATAACCACAATTTGAATAGAACCACTCGTTCATCATTCTTTACAGCTCAACCGGTCGGTCAAAGAACGAACAGAAAACAAGATATAAATTTAAACTTGAAAACCAAAACCCGAATTGAAATAAAACCTGAAATAACACTGCGCACATGAATGTTTCCCCTAATAGTATGCTCTGAGATAACTTTAGAAAAATGCATTTGTGTTGGTAGAAGTATTTTAAGTACAGTACCATCTAGTAACAAAAATTAATGATTTCCTGTAAGCGTGGACGTCTGGGAGAAGTTATGGTGGTAATTGACTTTTTTTTGCTAGATGCATAAGGTCTGATGGTTGTAATCTATATCTTTTACATTTCAAACTGTCGACTTTGTATTAATTGTAACTGTTTACCATATCTATTTCTCTGTACGTACGCCCTCAAAAGTTGAAGCAGGTGAATCAATAAGCTGACTTCCTTCGTTTTGGAATTGTGTGATTGCATAATTTCGCTGTGTAAGTGGCCACTTTGTAACATGTAATATTACTATACAGATTGCATTAAGTACTCTTGCTCAAGGTTTCATTAATACATGGTGTTTCTTACCAATGTTCATACCCAGACTAAACATTGATATCTGGAAATGGTCACGATATATGCAAGTTTTAAAGGGTGGGAATCTGGAATAGCAAGGACCCTCCTTTAATTAGGACTAAAATGAATGGGGGCTCTCCTGTTTTAATTCATGTTTTTACTTTGAACTACCCCTCCCCTGTAATGCGTTGGGCACATAGATGAAGAAAGCATTTCTTGTATTTCATGAAAGTGAAATACTGATTAGCGTCCGCATAATGCACAAAGCAAGAATATAAATGTCTTAGCTTAATGGGTTGAAAATTAAAATAAGAGAGTTGTGCAGAGCGTATCTTACTTTTTATCCTCCTTTGGATCCAATTAACATAGTCACTAACAGTCTCATTCACTCTCAATTTCCACTGAGCTCATGGAAAGAGATGGCCGTCTTACAACAAAATGTTCATCAACAAGAAAGTCCCCTTTAGTGCACGGAAGGCGCATTCCTGCTAAGCTGGATGAAGACACATCCCTACGCTTAGATGTTGAGATTGATGGCTCTGTTGTTGAACAAGTTTCTTCTCATAAGATTTTAGGAGTAGTTATAGATAGTCAAATGAACTACAAATCGCACACCGATGAATTATGCAAGAAACTTTCCAAACGCATAGGTCTCTTGAAGCATATTAGCCCGTTTCTTAAGATTTTAGGAATATTTATAGATAATCAAATGAACTACAAATCGCACATTGATGAATTATGCAAGAAACTTTCCAAACGCATAGGTCTCTTGAAGCATATTAGCCCGTTTCTTAAGCAACGTCAAAGGGAAATCTATTACAGTGGTGTTATAAAGCCCACCCTCCTGTATGGGAGCATGAAATGGGATAGCTGCAATGTCGAACATCTTCAAAGTATTTTAAAACTTCAAAAAGAGCGGCACGCATTATTCTCGATGCTGAAAGATTTTCACCATCAGTCGTATTATTCAATAATCTAAACTGGCTCCCTTTTACTAGACAATCTCTAATAAAGAGATGTGCACTAGTGTATAAGCGGGTCCACAACTATGTCTAGTTATTTAAATAATTTATCAGTTAGAAATTCAGAAATTCATAATCGAGCCACTAGACATTCAAATATAAATCTGATGTGCCCTAAGTATAAACGAAAATCAGGAGGAGGTCGTACTTTCACTATTAGGACTATAAAGGACAAGAATTGCATGAATGCTAATATAAGAAATAATGGCTCGCTAACAAGTTTTAAGCACGATGTTTTTAAATCCTTTCTAGCTGAACAAAAGGCTGCAATGTGCCTTAGACTGTAATTTTGTCTATATGAATTATTTATTATATTTTATCTTTTTAATATGGTATATTTTATAGTTATTAGTTGTAGCATCTATATTTTGTTCTTGTTTTGAGGGCCACAGAGTCATCAGTGTCTTAGGGCTACTGTTAAGTGTTTTTACCCTCTCTTAAGAAAGCCTATTATTATTATTATAAGATGATAACCTAAACCTGGCCTCTTACCACAGATAGTTCTTTTGGGCATCATCAGTACAAATCTGGTCTAATTTATATATTAAGGTGATTGTTACAGGTAGGCTAATCTTAAAAACTAGTTGTGAAAATTTCTTGAACCTGTCGTCATATAAATGTTTGACTCAACATGTGAACTGAATAAATAGAAATGTGAAATTTATTTGTTCTCCTTTTGAGTTGTGCATCAAAATTTCGAAGTCATTGCAGGCTTGAACTACAGGTTTAGAGGAAATCTGGATATGTTTTCAACATATAGACCCATGATTATGACTACTTCGAATGAGTGCCATAAAGGTACAGGCAGGTGTTGTAAAAAAAGTTTGCTCAGCTTTTTCATTAGTACACATTTCTTTTTCCAAGAATCTTGTCTATCTGGCCTATGCTGAATTCTAATTTTTCGACCAAATTTTTTTCTCTTTTGAAAATTCTTAGATCTCCCAGTATCAGTTAATATTCCTGTGATTAAAATAATTGCATGAAATCTTGCAGATGTATGGCACATTATTTTTCCCCTGATCCTCCTAACATTTCATTATGTGTAGGATTGGTATTGGCTATAAAATTTAAGTCAAATTAGAGTTTGGTGCTTAGCCTATGCATCAAATTCATATAATAAAACATTGCATCCTTCTTAAAACTAGTTTATCAAAATAGGAATGAGTTACCAGGCACAAGTATGGCACAATGATGGTTTCCAGGTTTAAAAAAAGTCCTT